ATAGAGTATATCCTAATGTACGTGCCCAAGGTCTTGGCTGCGGTTTTCTCTACGTGCAGGCTCCATGTCATCCTCCTATCGAAGGTGACACCGAGATATTTTATACTATTTACAAATGGGATGTTCCGTCCGTTCAGATGTAGGGCGTCCTCAGGCTTTCTACGTCTTCTGGAGAAGTAGATAGCCTGAGTCTTCCCTTCATTGATCTTTATGTTCCAGTGCTGACACCATGACCCCACGACAGTGAGACCACGCTGGAGTTTGTTGAAAACTCGTCGCTCATGCTTCTCTGTTGCGTATACACAAGTATCGTCCGCGAACAGAGCAAGGTGTATTCCAGGTGCCGCGGGGGCATCATTTATATATAAGCTGTACAGCACTGGGGCAAGGACGGAACCTTGTGGCACCCCTGCCGCTACTTTCCTGGGCGAAGAAAGTTCGACTTCTACTGAAACTTTAAATTTTCTGTTTGTTAGAAATGAAGCAATCAGCTTTACGAGACTGGTCGAAAATTGTAACTCTGTGAGCTTATATAGTAGGCCGGGGTGCCATGTTGTGTCAAAGGCCTTTTCAATGTCCAAGAATACAGCAGCCGTCGACATATTGTTATTAAAATTAAGAGAGACGTGATCCGTTAGCCTCATGCATTGGAGTGTCGTGCTGTGACGCGCACGAAAACCAAGCTGACTTGTGTTTAGCAAGTTTCTTTCCTCTGAGTGTCCATGGATTATTCTTAGAATTAGTTTCTCGAAAAGTTTGCCCGTAGTGGACAGGAGGCTAATCGGAAGTAAATTTTGTGGGAATTTAGGGTTTTTGCCGGTTTTTAGCAGAGCTATGATTTTGGCTTCCTTCCAAGGTGACGGGAAGTGACAGAGTCGAAAACAGTGGTTAAACAAATGCGTTATATGAACGAGAGTTCTTCTTGGAAGGTGCCTGAGACATTCATTTGGAATGCTATCAATTCCGCAGGCCTTTCCTAATTTTAGGGATCGAATTTCTTTGGAGCCGTCACATGGTCGAAATTTAGGTTGAGGGGTTTTCTTCGACTGTAGTCAGCAGAGCTTGGACTCGGGCCTCCACCCGCCGTTCATGGTCACTGTCACACAGTTTGTGCGGCTTGAACACGTTTTCTAGATAATTTGCAAGTATATTGGCTTTTTCGTTTGGCTAAAATACTCGTCCGAAACGCCCATGAATTGCAGTTGGTACCTTTGGTCCACCCCTCTTTGTGAGGGATTTCGCAATAGGCCATATTGCACATGGTGTAATCTCACAGTTCTCTATCTTGGTTTCCCACCGTTCAAGTGCCTTCTTCAGGGCCATTCTCCTTATACTTTCAGTGACCCAGTTCACTGCCGTTTTGCATGCTGGATCCCGGGTTTCTTGCCAAAGTTTTCTGAGCCTCTGCTTGTGCTTGAGTAGTCGGTCTAGGCCAGATGGGCCGCGATTATGAAATGAGGTTGTGGTTGTTTCTCTCGACAGCCTATTTGCTGATGCTATAGAGGCTGCAAAGTCGCAAGCTGCTTTGTCAGCTTCAATAGATGAATTAATTTTGATTCTTGGGGATATTAGGGCAGAGGCGAGGCTTTGAAACTGCTACCAATCTGTGAATTTTTCAACTGGATCCAAGATTTCCCTGGCTTTAACATGATCCAAGATGCAAAACATTATAGGTTGGTGATCTGAATCCATGATATCCAGAACTCTGACCTCTGAGAGCACAACATCTTTATGGACCACAATGTCCAGGACATCACCTCTCCCATCAGGAACGAAGTGGGTAGGATATTGTGGCGCCGAAATTTCAAAATTACAATTAACAAATATATCTAAAAGCTTCAAACCTGAAGGGTTTGCAATCGTTACTATTCCAAACGGTGCTTTGCGTTCAGATCACCTGCCAAAATGGATTTTGTTCTGAAGTTTAGGAGCTCTGTGATGTCTGCATCTCTCCACGCTCTAAGTGGAGATTTATAAACAGATGCAAGTAGCATTTCAGTATGACCAATTGGTATGCAGACCCCCATTGCTTCTACTGAAAGTAGGGGTGGCAGGTCAACATGAGTATGTGGGATTCCCTTTTTGACTGCAACGGCAGTTCCGCCCTTATGCCCATCCTGGTGATCATTCCGATATATATGATAATTTGGAATATAGAATCTCATATGTGATTTCAGATGTATCTCCGAGAAAAGGGCTACATCTCTTTTTAGGTCTTGCATCTGTTTCGTAGCTCATAGGCCTGTCTCCCAATGCCGTTGGCATTGAACGCTACAATTTTCAGAGGCCTATGGACTGTTACCACCATTGCGATTCAGTAGACTAAAAACAGCCTTGGTGATAACTGCAACTTTTTGATGCAGCACCTGAGAGCCCTGTCATAATCTGCTGCACCGCAGTGAAGGCAACGAACATATCATCCGTTGCATTACTATTTACAATTTTTGCCTTCACTGACTGACCTGAAACTTTGTTGGTCATTTGTTGATCCTGGGGACTTTTAGACACTTTCTGCTGCGCTGAGGGTTGCTTCGCTTCCACCGGGCTGTGTAGAACAGAGGCGAACGTCCGCTCGGCTGTTGCATATTTGGAGAAGAACGTTCTTCCTGAAGACCCTTGGTTTGTCACGCGATGGTTCTTCCTTCACCGCAGCTCCTCCTTCACATGACTGCAGCCCCTGTAATTGGTTGGATGTGGTGATTCCCCATCTTTCAGCTCACAGTTGCAGCATCTTTGGATGCTCTTGGTATTCTCCTTTTCCGGGCATTCACGGTGGCGGTGATCACCCCCACACCATAGGTATCGAGGAGGCTGCCTGCAGTGGACCCAAATATGGCTAAAATGCTGGCAGTTGTAGCACTGGGTGAGACCATTTTTTTATTTTTAAGCCTCTACTTTGACAATTATGTTGAAAAGGTTGGTTCAATCTGCTGTACAAACCTGGATTGACAGAGGCCTTGTATATATTGTACATAGAAATAGGAATTAAGACTAGAATTAAATTGTAAATATATGTCAATATTGACAATGGACTAAGACTGACAAATGACAGACTCGACCTCTCGTCAGAGAGGGCGCCCCAAAATGACAGGACATCAACTTTCACAAAGAAGAAAACATCTAGTCATGAGCCCCAGCTGGGGCTCGACACCAAGACAGACAGACTGACTGACCATCAGTTGTAACATGACTTTGACTTTGACATTGACTTTGACTTTGACTTTGACTTGATGTGATATTCACTTAGGAGTAAGTGTTGTCCAAAAGACCGGCGGAACAGCATGCTATGTGGGATGCTGCCACTTACCTATAACAGGCCATCCTGACATAATATTTGGAAGCATAAAAATGACTGCTCTTTTTAATGAATTAATGACAAATTTTTCTGCCTTACAAACATCTTCAGTTGAATGCCATTATAATGAAATGCAGCAAATGCCACAAATATATTTATTAGAAAAAAATCATATTTCTGGAAAGAATAATAACATTATATGAAAATGAATACCAATCTGTGTTTTTGTTCAGAATTCATTGGATTAGTACTGGATAATTGAGGATTCAATATGGGATTAGACAAAATACAATTAAACTACTTCTGACATGAAGAACTGTAAACACCATATCTATTACAATGTAGAAGAAGTGACATGATTCAGCTGATATGTAACTTTGATTGAAGATGTATACTGTCAGATTTATCAGGCTGTTAAGAAACTGGTGTATAGAATTAAATGTAACAGTTATAACATACCCATAATATAAAATTAATTTATTAATGTATATACAAAACTACATGTGCTCTTACATTCATACACATATCTGAGAATTGGTAAGTCACACATTCTCAAAACAATGCAAAAACAAGAAAGACTGTGACTCAAGAGTTCATAAGTGTATTCTGCAAACTTCTTCAAACGTTTCCTCAGTATATAACTGATCATCTTTCATGATTATGAGGTGACCTATCACCTATGCATAATTACCTTAGAGATTCATGAACACTGCCAATAAGGAAATTAATTTAAATCGTACAGTTTTAAATTCATTTCACAACCATGACAATTCATAGAAAATTGTATCATACAAATGTTTCAGCCATACAGATGCTCACATTTACAGAAGGAATATGTACTTTATATTGATAACTTATTTCCAGAATATCTGGCTAGGTATTCTACATCACTGTTGAATTCAAGAGACAGTACATTTGGCACAAACACTGTTTAAAGAAGCGAAACTCTTTACAATCTGAAGCTAATTCCTCATCATACAGGTGCTGCTAATCTTAATATCGAGAAATTAATAATACAATGTGCAATGAGGTTTGGCATACATATATATATATATTTATATTTACATTATACCATTTTTATGATCCTTAAATATCATTCCTAATTAAACCTTGTTCTTCTTCTTTGGGTCATGGGTCTGTTTTCTCCGGAGCAAGAATCCCGCCATCTTTTATGCAGTCTTTCAGGACTCAGTTCTTGTTGCAGTTATTTCTTCCTATTCACACAATCTGATCAGATGTAATTTATGATACATGGCTATTCCATTAAGTACTTAGTATATTTACCCAGTCTCCTATTTCTTACATACTGCACTGACAGCTGATATCTTTGCCATGGTGTATCCTACTTTATCCACTTATCTTTCTCAAATGTCCATTTCAATATTTTCCAATATTTTTTTGTTTCTGTGATAATTGCTCTTCTTTCAACTGCATAGATCTTTATGAGCCTGGTAATTTTTACACAATCTTACTTCTGTTTTTTTGTAGAAAGCATATACTTTTCCGTATAGTATCATTTAAGCACTGAGATATTCTGGATGTCTTATTTTTTTGTTGTTGGACTTCCATTTGCAACACACCATTACTATTATTTAAAATCAAAGAATCCTATAATTCTATATTCATTAAAGAATTTTATTTTGAAGATCCTACCCACAGCATAGTCACTCTTTACTTACTGTCACTGGTTCTGGCCTTAGTGACAGAAATTCTCATTTAAACCCTGACAAAATGAAAATTGATGCAACAGTATATGCACGTTATCTTCACTACTTTGCAACTAATGCTGCATCACTTGCATATCAGCGAGTATTTATTTCTCTTCATCTAATGTATAGCCTTGTTTGCACTTTATATCCTATATCATTTTGTTTATTACATTACACAAAGAAAATGAATTAAAAAATCTCCTTCCTGCACAGTAGGTTTGGTGTGACATGAGCTATGGCCTTGAGATGCACAGTAGCTTTGCTGCACCAGCCACTTAAAGTTATTCAGTCTCTACCTATGTTTTCGTGTTTAGTAATACAGGACAAGCTCTACCTCTACATGTGCCATTAATATTAGCAGACACCACTGTTACCCTGCCTCTTGCACATTTCAGAGGCCATGTCCTACCAAACAACTTATACCCTTTTCTTAATCGATATCTTTGGTGATAATCTATCTACCTCGATTTTTATACTGATATCTATATATATATGCCTGTGACCAACAAGTGAAGCCAATTTCATACATTATTTTGATTCAAAAATACCTAAAATATATTTTAACTTGAGACTGACAACAGCTTTCTCTGTCTATCAGAAGACTAAGAATGCTGGGAATTACAGAATTTCTGGACTTTGTCCTCATCTAGTATTCTGAATGAAAACAATCACTGAAATTATCACTTTCTAATCAACACAACTAAATAGATGCATCATCATCACATTTATATGACGCGAGAAACATCTATTTTCTGAAATGCTGTGTTTTTTCAGAATAATAGGTGATGCACCAAGCCCAGGAACTCAAGTCATCCCCTAGTCTAATACATCACTGCCACATTCCTTTAAAACTGAGAAGAAGGTTGGTTTATTACATTCCACTGCCTTTTTTGATGCTTGTCTCATCATAAATACTGCATCTGTACATGAATGACTCACCCGACTATACTGCATATCATATAATAATACAATTTCAGTAATTTGTTGATGCAGAATGTATTACTTTAGCAGTGTACAGAAAAATTATTTCTCTACTTTCCTGGGGACTGTCTTCTTTTCCAAAAACTGCCACTAAATGCCTGTTTTTCATTTCTGACATACATCATAATTAAGTCATGGATGTATTGAACAATTTAACAGGTTGGTGTAGCAGTAATATTCTAGACTTGTATTGAAAGCTTCTGTGTTCAAATTTCAGCTGGGGCATCAACTATCTTGACTGAGGGTTTTCGTGGTTTTCTTCAGTTTCTCCAGGTGAATGGCTGGACAGTACCTTGATTATACCATAACCACTTCCATTTATATCCCTTGCAATTCATTATTCACCATTCATCCTAAGTTATACAGTCTGAGATACTGACAGCATCATAGAATAATTCACAAAAAAAAATTACTTAACAACTAGAAAGATGTTAATACAAATTAGAAACATTAGGTTTTTACAATGGCAGTAGTGGCTCCTAGTGTAGAGATAGTGTGAAATTGTAACAGGCCACATGGCCCAATAACTGACTAAAGTTGATGACAATGATGATGCCGATGATACTGGGTTGCTTAAACCTCTTTATTACATTCAAGAAACTCGAAAATTCAGACAAAACTACACTTGTAAAAACATTATTTACTACAATCAAAAGGCTATCAGCTGGCTTAAGAATCAGCCAAATTTCTATTAACTTTGAAACAAGAGTGGAAAACTCTGTTCCTTTGCCGATAACTATGGGAACATGATATCAATCGCCTCTCCTCTCAAAGATACTGTACACAAATACACAGAATATGCAGTTCTATAACCACCAAATGTTAAATATTTAACGAGAAATATATCACACTTAGTAGTATGAAGCAGGCAACATCCAGCCTTGGGAATATTTTACAAAGTTTAAATGGAGCAATACAATTCGGTATTATACTGTAATGGATATTAAATTTAAAACTGAAACATGAATTATAAAGCACCAAATTTAGATCCTCTAATCTGTGCTAAATCTCTGCTTCCAACAAATATCTTCCTAAGGAGTGAGTAAATATAACTACTGACTTAACGTATATGGACTTTCATGGCAAGAATGGCAGTAAGAAATGTGACATCTGGTAATGGTAAGATTTATATGCCTGCAAGTACACGTGCTAGCTAATGTTAAAAATGAAAAGTGATCAAATGCAATATCTATGATTTCTTATGACAGGAATGACAACAGTAATTTCGATAATACTTATATTTGCAGAGTCTTGCCTGGACCACCAGATGACAGTTTCGGAACTCATCATCACAGTCAACACCTGAAATGAAGGAAAAAATTAAAATAATTATAACTATTTGAATTTCATTACCTTAAGACAGGTTTCACACTAAGAATAGAGCTTACTGAAATAAGTTCAGGGTTATGTGGGACAAGTACAAATAAATATCATATTTGATTCATAGCTTTTGGTGTGCACTTCACCCTTCCTGAATTACCTGAAATCCATTCAGTAGTTTCAAAGACAAAACATGCATGGGGAGCAACAGATTTCCCTATTGCGTTTTATTTAATGTATTTCATGCAAAGAATCACAAAAAACAGGACAACTCCTTTTTATCTTGGATAAAGAGAAGTCTCTCTCTTGTGTCATTCAATTATTGCACAACTGGTACCACTAGGCTTGGCAGTAAGAAAGTTGATCATACTGTGTTATCATCTACCTGTTCCCTCTTCTCCTTTGTTGATTTATATATTTGAAAATTTAGAATTACAGAAAACAAGGTGGTTCAAATATGACCAGGACTGATTTGTGTGTAAACAAGCTGCACTGCGCAGCATCTGTGCGACCTTGAGAGAGTGAAGCCACAAACTCCACCCTCCCTCCTGTTTTGGTTAGAACCTGTTCAATCCTGTCTGGGAGTTGCTAGAGTGATGAGAGAACAGAAGGTACTGCAGAGCGTGGAACAACACATTGCGATCAAATTCCTTGTTGGAGAAAACATCCCGTCCACTGAAATTCACCAGACTCCAACAACAGTATGGGGAAGATTGTCTCTCATGGACCCATGTGTTTGAGTGGTGTAAGTACTTCAGAGAGGGCAGAGAGCGCGTGGAGAATGAACCTATGATCGTCGGCCACGAACATCCATCACCGACCCATTGATCGTGCAGACATGCTTATTCGTGAGAACAGGCGCATCACTATCAAGGAACATGGAGCAATGCCGTCCATCAGTTTTGGTAGTGTAGAAGACATCGTGAAATACCACCTGCACTATCGCAAGGTGAATGCACAGTGGGTACCACGCACTTTGACGAACGTGAACAAAATGGTGCGCATGCAAGTTGCCAGTTGTCTCCTACAGCAGTTTGAAGGTGAAGGTGATGCATTTTTGAAGTCTATAGTGACCACCGATGAAACGTGGGTGCAATACTTCATTCCCGAATCCCAGCAGTCATCACACGAGTGGTGGCATACCAGTTCTCCCAAACCCAAGAGAGCGCGGAGGAGCCGTTCAGCAGGAAAAGTGATGGCAACGTTCTTCTGGGACTGGCAGGGGGTTATCCGTGTAGCCTTTCCAACAGATGCCAGAACAGTCAGTGCAGCTTATTACTCAGACCTCCTGGCAACAGACATGAAGGAAAAGATTCGATCCAAGCGGAAGACAGGTGGAAAGCGGGTAGCCTTCCTTCAAGACAATGCACGCCCCCATATGGCCAAAACAACAATGGAAACACTCTGGAAATTGAAATGTAACCTTCTGACACATCTACCGTAAAGTCCTGATTTGGCCCCAAGTGATTTCTATCTGTTCAGAAGGCTCAAATCAGACTTGCAAGGCATGCGGTTTGTGGACAACGACGCTATCATCCAGACTGTTTGGGAATGGATACGCCGCCAACTACAAGCCTTTTTTGAAAAGGGCATCAGGATGCTTCCAGAACGTTGGAAAAAATGTGTTGACTCCGCAGGGGAGTACATTGAAGACTGACATGTGCAAGTAAGTGTTTGGGAATTATGGTTTTTAAAAAAAAATCAGTCCGGGTCATATTTGAACCACCTTATATAACCAGGAAGGGCAGTTAGTATGAAGATGAAGAACTGACACATGCTTAATATACATATTCCAAGAATGCAGAACTGAAGCAATTCCTACTATACTGGTGTGTAAGTAGAAAGAATTCTGAATCCCATGACTGACAGTAGTTTGTGTAGGTTTGGGAAGGCCATATATTTGCACAGAGTAACACCACTAGAGAGGTGTGACAGGTGAGCGTGGAGATAATGAAAAACCATCATTTGAGCCCATAGCAGTGGCATACCATGCATGGAAGCAAGGGAAGCATCGCTTCCGTAGTTAAGAAACGAAAAGAAAAGAAGTCATATATAAATAATTCAATTTGAATAAGAAGAAGGTGAATATTGTCATCTTAACATTTTAGAGCGTGTTCCTGTTAAAGGCCACATGCCTACTCTTCCTCCCTTCCCTGCTTGGTGGGCCAGACCAAGTACCCTTTCATTAATCTTCGTACAAATACAACTCACTCGAAGTCATCAAGGGAAGTATGTTTTGGTTTGCTGGCTCTAGGCATGAGATATGGAAATGAAAGATTGTGTTCATTCAATGGTTATGTGAAAATTAACTGTTTATGTGTGATTTCTTCTTGGGTGTTATAGGTAACATTAAATTTTATTAAAATATTGTTAAGTGCATATTTAGATGGCGTAAGATTGTATTTGTGATCGTATTCTAACACATCAGAAAGAAGCTATCTGCGTTTAAGGGAAGCAAGTGTGATATTGTGGTACAAGTTGCAGGGGAGTTATTAGACTACATGCACAGGGCACAGCTAAAATGAATGCTGGCAGGCAACATGACTGCGACTGTGGAATTAAAAGCCTTTAAATGGGGTTTAACAGCAGGGACTTTTCTGAAAAGAGAATAATTATAGAAAGGGGATGACCAACATGCGAGTTGCCAGAACTTAAAGCACAAACCAAATTATGTGTGAGGAAATTTAATTTGGAACAGTATTCTAAAACAGAGTGGCTATCCGGTTACAGTAATACAGGAAAATTGTTTTGTTGGCCATGTCTATTGTTTCTCAATGAAGAAAATATATAGAACAAGACTGGGTTTGATGACATCAACAACCTTCGTAAAGCACCGAAATGATGTGAGAACTCTCAGACTCACATTATTTCAACAATGCAACTTATGTTCGGGAAATCTCAAATTGACTATCAACTTGACAATAAAAAGCGCCTGACGATACTACAGCATAATGAAAATGTGAAAGAAAATAGAGAAATAATGAAACACTTGATTGATATCATCTGCAATTTAGGAAAGAGGCAACTTGCCCTCTGTGGTCATGTCAAAAGCGTGGATTCTATCGACTGAGGTAATTATGTGGAATTAGTTCACTTGTTGAGGAAATATGATCATAAACTCAATGATCACCTTGGGAACAGTACAGTATTTACAGGTTTATCGAACAGAATACTTAATGGAGAATAGATTTGGTCTTCAAATAAATTTTGGTTAGTTGATTGCTATCAGTTGGTTTATTACATACCACTGCTTCCCTTACCAAAAATAGTACCGGACACAACTGGCCCATAGCTATGGATCCTTGATACCTGTCACCGATTTTAAACAAACTGAATTTTCTTCCATGTAACTGGATGAGAAACTGAATTACAGTGAGTGCAAGTAATGGACAGATGGTAACCAAATTATGAGATATTGAAGGGAAGAGGTTAGAGAGAACTTATAGCAGTGTGCAGTGTTTAATGTAAATGTTGCAGTTAAGATAGCACAGATTCAAGAGCCATGTCATCATTAGGATATTTGTTAGGATGACCAATGGGTCTGGTGATGTTCGAAGTGGAAACATTACTGTAGGTAATGCCAGCGGTCAGAAGGGCCTGTGGGAAAATAAATGATGAAAATTAAACAATAAGTGGTGTTATCAGTAGAATAATAAGAGATAAATTCCCTCCCCCATGACATGAACCAGAAAGGAAAAAGGTGACAGGGGGATAGTATCTCTTCCAGGTCTGTGGTACAATAAGAGGTTGCAATACCACAACAAGTTGTGGCCAGCATTGATGATGATCACAATCTAGGCTACATTCTTCCTTATCCCCTGGCAGTCTCTCATTATATAATTGAGATCTCCACATTGTCACAGCGGATACTGTTATGTGTATGAGTGACTACAAATAGAGTTAGGATTTGAAACTGGATTTATTGACCACTTTAACACACTACTCCTTTTTACACTTACTTATAGCACCATGGCTGATCTCCACAATTTACAAATCACCAGAGCACAAAGACAAGTGTTCTCAGTTTGTTACAGTCTCTACTAATCTTTTCCTACAATGGATCTTAACAATGGAGATTCTTCAGCTTCCATGCTCACATTGTTACTCTCCAGTGAATATCCCACAACTCTTAACTCTTGCTCCAATTGTCATCTTGGCACAGACTGTGTACAAAACGCTGTTTCCAACAGTTCCTGTGTTGTTGTGCATGGATTCGTTGCCATGGGAACTTGTTTGTTTGTGAAGGTGTCACTCAGTAATGGTTGCATATAATTGCTTATTAAGAAACTGTTGCCTAGCAATGGATATTACTTCATTGTTTGTTTAACTGTTGTTGCTCAGTAATGCTTGCTTGTAGACAGTTTTCTGCCCATCATGATTACTTGTAAATAGAGAAATGAGGAAGACAGCAAATATATTATGATCTTAATAGACTGCATATACAGGGAAGGTAAGCAACGGCTGCGCTGTGGCCAGTCAAATCACCGCAACTAACCTCTCTCCCTACCGGCGCGTGCTGCGCTACCTCACCGATCAAACATCTCAGCAACCACGGTCCTTTTCAGGACCAACAAACTGTTCCGAAGAAGTGGGTTGTCATCGGAGTAATGGCGAACAACAAAGGCTAAACCCCACATTGGTGACCCCGACGTGATTGGAAGCACGTGTGGTGAACATCAGTAATGACTCCTACATTGGATCATCCCGGCTCAGCATAGACGCCGCAGACATCTCGCAAGCAGCAGCATCACTTCTCGCAAGCGGGGGGAGTGATGTGGGAACATCCCACATTATCACGCATTTTCTGCAACGCACACTCTTCACATCACTTTTCACCATCACGCGCGCTAACCAATCAAATTGCTCCAGACGTTCACATTTATACTGTGCTCGCTGCTAGCCCCACATCTACATCATCACGTGCGCTAGCCAATCAGCGCCCTGCAAATTCTTCCTCCTCAATTTCAAGTTTCGTTCCGCCCACCGAGCAGTGTATAAAAAGGAGCAGCCGCAAACCAGCATCATCAGTCTGACTTCAGTCTATGATCAAGCCACACTCAAGCAACATCAGCCAGCAGGCTTCGTCGCCAGCGCTCGGTCTTTGAAGGCATCGGCAGGCTGCGCCAGGCACGACTGCCTCGGCCCTCCGGCTCTCACACCCGACGCACTGGGGCACCTCGCCTGGACTCGCCGGTGGTCGTGTCCCTGTCTGACCCACTGGGCATCTGGCGTAGCCACTGCCTCATCACCCCTGCGACCACGCTGCGCGACCACGCTGCGCGACCACGCAACTTCAACTCACCTGCCGCACGGCAATCAAGCAACCTCCAGCAACGGCTGCGCTGTGGCCAGTCAAATCACTGCAACTAACCTCTCTCCCTACCGGCGCGCGCCACGCTACCTCACCGATCAAACATCTCAGCAACCACGGTCCTTTTCAGGACCAACAAACTGTTCCGAAGAAGTGGGTTGTCATCGGAGTAATGGCGAAGAGCAACAAAGGCTAAACCCCACAGTATATTATACTTAGAATGGCTGGCTAGAATAATGTTTATTATTACTCAGCGGATACAGTCCTCATATAAACACACCATACATTTGTATGTATTATATGTTTTGATCTACTGTGTACATCATCAGGTACACAGAGATTTTACAATCACCATTTGTTCTATCTGCGATACCTCCCTACACTGGCCAATGTTTACACATTGGGAGTGCCTTGCACAGGTATGTTGTTTATTTAATAACTTTGTTATGAAATGTCATTAAATATTAATATTAAAATGTTTAAAATATTAAAATATTCTACTTGGAATTAAAATTAAGTTGTGTTGTAAGGTGTGTTTATGTTTGTGGATATATCTGTGTGTGTGTGGGGGGGGGGCCATGTGTGTTTTCCTTTCCTTTTATATTGTCATGTCATTTTGCATTGTGTTGCCAGATTTTTAGGTGGTATTCGTCAATATGTTATTGTGTAACATGGGATTCTTCCTATGATTTTATGTCAATGTTCTGATTATTTGTTGGTCTGTGGGTATGTGATAAATTTTTTTTTGTATTCTTTTCTTCCGTGGCCTGCCCTTATGTGGAGAATGTGGTGCCTGCACCAAAAGCTGTGTGGGACTCTTACATTCGACATGATGCTGCAATATAATATTTCTAGCTGGCTACAAATTTATTCTGCAACGCATATCCATTGCTGGCTGCTGAACCATCCCTCCTCAATCACTCAATGCTTGCTGGCTTACATCCATAGCAGAGCGTGTTTACTTGCTTAGTTGCCCTCGAGGTATAATTGCCAGTGTTCAGAAATGAACAGATATTTTTCATATACAATGTCTTTCTACAGTGTTCTTCATGGAAGAAATCCCATAGAAAGTTCTGTAAGAAGTCTCCTGAGAGCACACTGATCTGTAAAGCAACGATTTACAATACTGTAACAAAATTTTGTTCAACAGGTCTGGTGTTGGATAAAAGAAGTTTCGAAAGAGATATGTACTGAAAAAACTTGATGACAACACTGCTTGATTAGAAGCAAACCCGATGAAATAGTTAAGTCTTTTGGCTCTCCAGTGTGGATTGGCAAAAGGGCAGATCGTATGGAGGATAGTTGGGTCAGTAATTTTTCATGAAACAATAAATTCCAAATGTTACGTGAGACTGATTCTGTTACCCTTCTTCGATCGAGTGACTGATGATGAAAAATCATATGGGTATTTGTATGCAATGTAATGTCACAGCATACAATGCAAAAAAATTCTACTAATGCATTTGATGAAGTCTTTGGTGAACAAGCAATGAGTTGAGGATTGTGGCCTCTGCTATCACCCAGTTTAAATCCTTGTGTCTAGAAGAATCTTCTCACAATGTGAGGCATTCTTAGAAGCAGAGGGTCATCTTTTTCAGATTCTTCTAACTCAAGTTATTTACAGAAGAAAAGAGGGCCATGAATTATTCGACTGCAGCAAGTCTACAAGAGAAGAGTACCCTGTCAGTTCTGCCTGCCAGTCTAAGGATAATCTATTCTCATTATATGTACAACATTGTCTCTGAAATAAATCAAATAAATGATATCTACAGCCCAAGTAGTATCCAGAAAATATGTATATTCCAAATTTGTACTCAAATTGAGGCTGAAAGGGTTTGTAAAAAAATACTTAATTATAACTGACATGAAGTACAACAGCACATGGAGTCACCTGACCTTGGTCAATGGCATGAGGCAGCCATTCCATGGACTTATATTTTCAGAGAAAAGAATTACTCGAAGGAAAAAAACACTAATCAGTTTTTTTTTGGACAGTACACCAACTTGACTTGCACATGTGGCCAAGTTCCATTGAATTTTGTTTTAGTTACACAATGATGTTACCTTTTCGTGTCCCTTCATCCTGTTCTCCCGGAAGTGCCTGATCACCTGCACCATTCTTAAATTCAGCATCTGTTTCTGCTTTAGATTGAAAACCTGTAGATTTAATAGTAGTTTAGATTTCATACATACAATTAGCATGGAAATTTCATTTGTGGTTATATGTAAAAGGTAGGAAAGACGGTTCTGTCCATGTGCTTAATTAATTCCCCAAAGCCTAATGCTGAGTGCAGCTCATTGTAGTGACAAAGTATTGTGGTGCACAACACTGAGGAAGGCTCATGTTTCAGTTTGATTTGTTTCATCCTGGTCCATCACACTAACAATATCATCAGGACGACACTAAAGAGACATATTCTCCAAACAATACAACCACAAAGCGGCAGATGCTTGGCTTCCTTCAAAGAGAAGAAATAAAAAGGACACGAACTAATTTGGTTTAAAAATTATAACAAATCTTTTTAAATATATTAATTGTAATTTATAAATATTTTTACATATTAGTATAAGCCGCTGTAGTTGTTTAAAACATTAGATTTTGTACTCATTGTATTATGATGACATTGTATGTATATATTAATACTCACAATAAATATTGTAATAGTTGTTTCTAATTGTATTGATATCCTTCTGAAGATGGTCTATAAGACCAAAATATGTTAAGGATATAATATTAAAAAGGATAACAAAATTTCATCAGTCACACTGGACAGAATTAATTAACCTTTTATGATAAGCTCATGTTTCATTTCAAATCAAAACTGAATGTAGTTAAGGCTATATTGCATAGATGGGTGCTTTTAGAAACAGAAAAGTACATGTTTATTGTCAAATAATGAGAATATTTCTGCACCATTTACTATCTGTGAGAATCAAGGTATCCATTTAAATGTAGATCTTTGGCTTTACGGTTCTTAGAAAAGTTTTCGAGCAGTTAAACACTAAGCCATAAAGACATTTGGGGGAGTGGAGGTATAAGCAGATCCTAAAGGGTTCTGATGATAGTGTACAACATTCAGAATTACTGGAGTTTTCGAAATTTTGAATCATCCAGTATTCTACAAACTAGAAAACAAAATGTTTCAAAAACTGGATCTGTTTCCATTATCAATTGAAGGGGGGGGGGACACCTACTCAGTTTCATCCCATAGAATGAGCTTCAGTCACTGGACAACCCCTGTCAGATTCCCACAACTACTTAATCACCTGAGACCAGGCTAATTCAGTGGGAGATAACAAGAAAATATGCAATAAAAATTGTGTTAGAGCATCCACATGTGTGGAACTAGGATAAAGGAGGAGGTAGAAATTTGTGTTGCAAACCTAGCCAACAAAACCAAGCGCATCAGCACCAATGCAAAGAAACTGAAAAATTTTTTGAAGACATGAAGTATCTTCACAAAATTAAACTAGTTAGGCTAATTAAAATGTGTTTAAATGAAATGTGGACCAAAGTCCAAATATGTAAATATTTGTCTGACAATTTTCCTGTCCAGAATAGCCTAAAACAAGATGTTTTGCTGCCATTGCTTTTCAACTTTGCTTAGGATGTGCCATTAGGAAGGTCCAGGAAAACCAGGTGGGACTGAAATTAAATGGGACATATAAGTTGTTGTTCTATGCTGATGACGTGAATCTACTGGGTGATAATATAGATACCATAAAGAAAAATACACAAACTTTAATTCACGCTAGTAAGGACATTCATTGGTTTAGAAGTAAACACAAAGAAAACTAAGTATATGTTGAAGAAAGCAGTCTTCTGGGATATGAAGAGTTCTCAACCATCGTCTGAACATCAGTCGGCCCGATGATAAACTGGACTCAGTCGCCTTCCTGCCCTATGTCGGGACTATAATCAACCGAAACAGCAGAGTGTTGTCCCAGCACAGCATCAAATCAGTGGGCCTACCTCCAAAGAATTTATCTAGTTTCCTCTGGCCGGTCAAAGATAGCCTGGGACTAAGGACACTGGGTGTATACAGTATCCCACGTGAACGTGGCAAGGTCTATATTGGGCAGATGGGCTGTTCCGTGGACATGATGTTGAAGGAGCATCAGCGGCACATCCGTCTCAAACATCCAGACAAGTCAGCTGTAGCTGAACACAGCATCGATTTGGGACACTGAATTCAGCTTCAGAATACCTCCATCCTCGCCACCAAGACCCATTATATGGATCACATCATTAGGAAGGCCACTGAGATTGAACTCCATCCCGACAATATGAACAGAGAGGGGGGGGGGTTGTCTCAGCAAGTCATGGAAGACTCTCATCTGTTCCCTCAAGAAACCTCTGGGATATGACGCCAGATCCACAAGATCACGCAGTTCTCATGCCTGATTCCCATAGCAACCCGAAGCTTAAGGGTTAATGTCCTCCAATTAACCTTACCTTTCTCCCCTGCCACAATATTCTATACCTTCTCTAGCCTGCTACCTGATAGCCAACCTGCCCAGACCCTTCCCCTGCCCTCTCTACTGATTTCCCGTGTAGTCCCTATCCCTTCCCTTCCTGCTCTATGCAGCTGGGTTTATTCAAAACATTAGTCTATTTGCACCTGCTCACACTGGTTCTTCGCTTGCAGATTTTCTTCTTTTTCCTTCTACCCTGAAGATGGGGGGGATACGTTCCTTCGAAATGTCGGTTAACACAATATCTACATGGTGCCATATCCCAGAAGACTGCTTTCTTCATAGTCACTGCCATGAAAACCTCTAACCTCACATAAGTATATGTTGCTGTCTCATCACCAAAATGCAGGGCAAAATCATGACATAAAGGTAGGTAACAGATATTTTGAAATTATGGCACAGTTCAGATATTTGGAAACGACTATAACATATCAAAACCTGATTCAGGAGGAAATGAAGAGGAGACTGAATTTGGGTGATGCTTGCAACCATTCAGTCTGGAAGTTTTTGTCTTCTCATCTGCTCTCTAGAAACATAAAAATCAAAATATTCAAAACTATAATTTTACCTGTAGTTCTGTAGGAGTGTGAAACTTGGTCTCTGACATTAAGGTAGGAACACAGATTGAGGGTGTTTGAGAACAGGATGCTGAGGAGAATATCTGGACCAAAAAGAGATGAAGTGGCAGGAATTTGGAGAAAACTGCATAATGAGGAGCTTCAAAACTTGTTTTCTACTCCAAGTATAATTAGAATGATCAAGGAAAGAGGCCAATGAGAAGTCCAAGATATAGGTAGGTGGACAATATTAAAATGGATCTGAAAGAGACAGAATGTGATGGTATGGATTTGATTGATCTGGCTCAGGATAGGGTCCAGTGGAGGGCTCTTGTTAACATGGTAATGAACCTTCAGGATTCACAAAATGCTGGGAAGTCCTTGTGTAGCTGCACAATTGGCAGCATCTCAAGAAGAGCTCAGCTCCAAGAGTGACTGACTGTTTCGCCCCTGGAGAGAGGTCTCCATTGGATAGGACTGAATAGCAACTGGATGGGTCCTAGAGTTGGTTTCGATTGTGTGAAGAAGAGGAATACATATCTCTTTCTCAGGCCAGGAATTGAACTCAGATTCGTCAATCATTCAGCCCGTGGCCTAATCATTATTCCAGCTGATCTATCCAGGCTCCTGTGGATGTACATGTATAGCACTGAAGAGAGAATGCACTGTCAGATAGGCATACCTTAAGAATCCATATATCACGTGCTTGGATAGAAATTGTACCCATTATTTCACCTGTTTTCCCCCTCTCATCAGAGGGAAAATACTACTTTGGAGACCTAGAAGTGGATAGGAGGATATGGTTAAAATTTCTTTTAAGTAAGCACAGGGAGAATATGTGGACAGGATATATTTATCTAAATATAGGATCCAGTGGTAGGCATGTGGACATGGCAGCAAACTCTTGGATTCCATTGAAGGCAGGGAGTTTTTTTGGGTGACTGAACTACTGATTTCTTGTGGGCTCTGCACCATGAAGTTAGTTAATATCCACTGTTCATATGCTACCTGTATGACTGCTGGAGCACTCATGAGTGTTGCATATCCGTTTATTGGGAGGTCGCTTTTCTTCAGGACAGCCAGTGGAAATCTGCTGTTTTTCTTCCATGCATTTCAGTTCTCGCTTCTGGATGCCTGTGCCACATTCTCTGGAACACTAAACATGAAGATCTCATTTCAATGTGTGGCTGTTTTCGTGAATTTCTACGTAAGGAAACAGAGGCTTATGAAATCATCACAGCCCTTCTCCTAACTCCTAGTAGAGTTGAAAGAGGTTCAGGAACTGACTGAACATTTTATCACACACTACAAGGTAGAATTGCTCTACTAGGAACACGGAGCTGATGACGGGGAGTAAAGAATATTCATTGTGTAGTGCTTAATTAGTTAAGCACAGGGACAACTTTACCTCTATCTGCTGCCCCCATCTTCAGGGCAGACATTACAAAACCATATTACGTCCATTTTCTGAAACAAATCTTAAAACCTTCACTAGGATATCTGTAAAATATCAAAACTAAAAGGAGAGACTTCTGAGGTGACAGAGACTAGCGCCACTGAATATAGAATCTTGAATTAACGAATAATAATACATCTCTGAAAAATATGTAACAAATTTTTAAATTCATTTTTCTGGTATAGGGTAAAATGAACCGTATGGAGACGAAGAGAAATCTTGACATATTCATAGCTCCCATATGATGCTGATAACTAAAGATCCATTGGAACAAGGCAGGTAAAATTTGGTGTCAAGACACAATAGAAACACTACAGATTTATGAAACTTATATTTTATGCATTAAAAATTATAAACCTGGCGACAAAGCAGAATTCTGGGCTACACCTGATAGATTTTACAGCAGTAGTCTGCTCCAGTGAAAATTACATACAGAAAAGCACCACTGAGTTGCAAAATAAGTTATCCCTGTGCCACAAAGTTGTATGGGAGTGGAGGTCTCCTTGGATTGTGGACCTTGGCAGTGAATGAAGTCATGCCCTGGAAAAAGGAACCTCCACTACTTATTACATGTGAGGATGAGCAGACCTGAAAAATAGGCTGAATGTCATGGCAGTGAGAAATATCCCACCCTCTGCCACAAATTGAATCTCAGTCCTCCTGCCCATAGCCAGTCACTAAACTGACTGAGATATACAAGTACAAGAATGATCAGTATACAGTGTAATTCATAGCCCTCTCTAGCCTTATTCTATAAAAAAAGCATCTGAAAGAACGCTGATATAAGATTGACTATAGATTGAGTTTTAAGCAAACATACAGTGGAACCTCGCTTAACGAGCATAATTCATTCCAGAATCTTACTCGTAATGTGAAACACTCATTAAGCGAAACAATTTTTCCCATATAAATTAATGTAAAATACGATAATGCGTTCCATGCCGAAAAAAATAATAAAAAAAATTATGTATAACGTTTATTCAAAGAAAATCATATATACATTGTTAAGGAGCGTGAATCATCTTCATCTTTTCTTCTATGCAGAATGAACGAACCTGGAATGCGAATTTGATTTGCAGACAACAAAAATGATACATATATAATTCTTTTTTACTAGAAAGCTGTCTAGAGACATTTGTTTTTGCCAACGCTTCAAAATTTGGTGAAATTGTGACACAGCATTATCATTAAATAAATTTGTAGTGCGCATAGCCACTGCCTTATTAGGGTGATGCTTCTCAATGTATGATGCAACAGTTTCCCATGCTTTCACCATTTCTCTTATTGCGCCAGAAGATTGTTGCTTTGCTGTTACCTCCTCCTCCTCCTCCTTCTTGAGGATGGTGCAAATCATTGATGTAGACCGACTGTATGTGCGTGCTAGATCAGCCACGCTCACACCTCGTTCTCGCTTTTCAATGATTTTACCTTTCATTTCTACAGTTATTTTTATTCTCTTATGGCTGTCTTTTTGCGGTTTTTTCTTCAGGGACATTTTTGCAAGGGTTATTAAACTTTGCACCAAAAAATCATAAATATGTCTGAACACAAGTTTGGAAAAATGTGTGATCACAAGCGACACTAAGATGCTAGCGTAACTAGTGCTTAACACAGACTGATGTAGCAAGCGCACAATCCGGGACTTTCCCTCTCGTCACTCGTTATGTGAAATGTCGCTCATTAAGCGAGTCATTTTTTTAACAATTTGTTTCGCTCGTTATGCAAATTACTCATTATGAGAGGTGCTCGTTAAGCAAGGTTCCACAGTATATGTAATATGACTGACTGTATCTTTGATGCTGGGTCAGACGTGGAAGGTAGAGGTACTTTTCCCTCAGCCACCAAGTTGAGACTGATATGGGAGCCACTTACCCTTGTACCCATTGGGTACCACAGACTCTTTCCTGAGATTAAACACCTATACCACTCTTCATCATAGCATGATGCTGAGACATAGGTGAAATTCGTCTTACCTTATGTAATAGATAGGTTTATTGTCTGAAATTTTATGTTCTTATGGTGGTGACTGTGAAGGTAACTGTCTCGTTGGATGTGACATCATTTACTGTACTAGAAGCTTACCAGTATTTTGGAGGAATATATTTCCTCCATCTTCAAGGTAGAAGAGTAAGCTAAACATGAGCGGCCTCCGTAGTCTAGGGGTAACGTTCCCACCTCATGACTCAAGGTACGCAGGCTCAAACCCGGCGGAAAAATGCGGGGAACAAGTCCTCTGGGAGGAACTTTAAGCCATGGGTCCCGTATCATAGATTTACGGCACGTAAAAGAACCTCATGTCTCTAGGAGACCTCTGAGCAAAATTATTAGGTAAAAACTTTCCCGCCCAAGTAGTTTAAAATGCCTCTGGTAGATGGGGGAAGTATCAAGGTACCGAGGGCCGACCTCGTTGGCTCAACGGTAAACTACAAATTACGTAATTATCCTGTTTTAATTGTCTCTTTTATATGCATTTTAATTTGACGCACTTGATTAATGGAATGAGTAATGAATGAACGTCTTAATGGAAATTTTATTTTATTTTAGTCCATGATAAATCTTGATAAATTTCTTGATCATTGTTTAATGTGTATTATAAGTATTATAAGTTTACCTCATTTAATTGCAATATTACTGTATTATTGTATAGATACTATGTATTCTAACTTGACTTGTTCCATATCCTATGGTGTCTCACCTGTACTGGATTTACGGAATGTAAATAAATTCAATTCAATTCAATTCAATGTCTACTCAACTCATAGTTCTACTATTTTTCTTCTCCGAAAAAGGTCATCAGAGTGATGTTGGGTTGTGGCAATAGAGTTTTGTGTAGAAACATATTTAAGGAGTTGACTATTTTAACATTTGCATCACAATATATATTTTTGTTGTTAGTATTTGTATTGCAAAATAAAGTTCTTTTTCCATCAAACATTGATTCTCATACTATTGATACTAGACAAAGACAAGAATTGTATCAACCTCAATCTAATTTAACTATTTATCAAAAATGAGTTCATTATGCAGGTATAAAAATATTTAATAAACTGCCCATAAAGATCAAGAACACATCTAATAATTTTAAAAAGTGTAAGGTTGTATTAACACATTTCTTGAACACTCATACATTTTATACTGTGGATGGATATCTAAATAGATAACTTTTATTACTGTTGTATTCATTATACTGTCTAGTTTTGTAATAACTATGTATGTATTCTATGCTCTATATTATTTTATGACATTTCTATATCCATCTTTGGATCTCTTGAACTTACAATAAATACAAATACAAATACTCTTACACAATGGCCCTTTGAAAGGCCACAGATCTCTTCTGTTCTTCTTACCCCTGTTGGTTTGGTCACAATTTATATTCTGACCTTCCTTCTCCCTATACCTGTACCATTCTTCCATATTCTACTTACTCTTTTGTCCTATGATGAAAACAGCATGTTCCTTCAATCCAAGTAGACAGCAATTTTTATACATTTACTCAGAATTCTGGTAAGTGGATAAATGAATGCTAACCTATATATTTTAATGACTAAAAATGAACAGGTTAAAACTAGTGAATTGTTAGCTACATTCCAATATCACATATCTGCATAAATGCACTAGTCAAACTAAAACAATTACTGCAGTTGACATACATGTGTCCAGTCAGTAAAGAACCATTCAGGACCACAGGATTTCATCTCACATGGACGTTCAGTTTCTGGTTTCAGTCCACTTGGACAATTCATATCAAGTGCTACCCTGTACTGTCCTCGAAGAAATGTGGCACAGATGACATCCCTAGTCTGGCGGCCATGCCCACATCCAGATGAACACTGCAAGAAATATACAGAACAAACTTCCCTGTTATCAGTGTCACAGACTTAAATTTTGTGATAGAAAATACTCTCTTCAGCATGGAGGTCCAGGATCTGATAAGCCTGTCATACTCACTGTTGTTTAGATCTGTAGCACACACTGATATCTTGGGTTTTTGGACTTTATCCATCGTCCTGGTTTTTAAGATAACAAAATAAAAACACGACGTTTCGGAAACTGGATCTGTTTCCGTCCTCAGGTGAAGGAAAACACCTATTCAGTTGGGTCCATTAGAAAGAGCTAGTCCAGTGATTGAGGCTAGCTCTTTCTAACGGACCCAACTGAATAGGTGTTTTCCTTCACCTGCGGACGGAAACAGATCCAGTTTCCGAAACGTTGTGTTTTTATTTTGTTATCTTAAAAACCAGGACGATGGATAAAGTCCAAAAACCCAACATATCAGTGTGTTATACACCATCGTCAGAATCCTATAGTAACTACTTGTAGCACATACTGTCTATGATTATCTCATGTGTACATTTTTAAACACTGTATACAAAACAAATCAGAAAATATAGTTATTCAAATTTTAAAGAAATAAATATTCTTCTTGATTTTCAGTTCTAAGATGTAAATATCGATCCTAATGCATGATTTACAAACACGGCAAAGCTGATCACATGCTGAAGAATTAAAGGATAATGCTACAAAGATAACATATGTTTTACCTGTCCCCAAGGGCTAGTAAACCATTTGCCGCTGCACTGCTTGTCACTTGAACAGGCACGGGTCTCATCAGGTTTAGAGCTTGCATCACATGACTCTAATCCTGGTCCTGAACAGTGAACTTTCCGGGTCTGAACGCCTGTTCCACAATCTTCAGAGCACTGTAATCAACACTAAATAATATAACTTCTCCAATTCCTACTTATTAACCCTTTGAAGAATGAAAGTTAGCTAAATAATCTTTAATATTCAGTTCATTTGTCACAGAAAATACACATTGTCTCCATTACAGAAACATATTGCTGTGCTTTTTAGATAGAAATCACTCTTTGTTTCTGAAACATACAAAACCCATAAATACTCCATGTGAGAAAATTAGTCTTTTAATAGCAGAGCAGAAGGTACACATAGCAACCACCCTGCTTTAAATGGTTAAATGTTCTCAATTTGTAAAGCACATGCTGCAATAATATCTGTATACAAGAATGAGGCCAATAAACTATGGCCTGATGACTTTTCCCCAAAAGCATTATAATAAAGGGGTCAGAGAGAGTTTCTTTAACAAAATAACATTATCTGACAAGAGAATACTGAATTTAAACAGAGAAATATTCATATATTGCTGTGGCATAGTGCTCCCAGAAACAATTAAACCAATGTCTTGACAACATGGAAACTGACTAAAAAACGAATGTTTAATCTGGTAGTATAAGTGAACAATGGTCACTTTTATATCTGTCATACGCATTATACCAAACTACTTCAAAATAAAAATAACATCAATAGATAACAGTTCTCAGTGGGACTGCTGAAAGTGAGAACTTATGGTTCCCATGGAAAGCAGTTTTAGTATCCCTATGTGCACAAGCACCAGCCGGTCACGGTAGCCGAGCAGTGAAAGGCATGCACTGTCTTCGCTCGCTTGGAAGCCGGGATCGTGGGTTCGAATCCCATTCAGGGCATGGATGTTTGTGTGCGTTTTTCTGTGTTTGTCTACAGGTAGAGGCCTGGCGACGAGCTGATCACTCACCCAAGGAGTCCTACCGAATGTGTAAGATCTAGTAAACCGAAGTGAAACGGAGAGTTTCATGGAGGTAGGCCTAGGCCCAAATTGGGGCTGTAGTGCCACAGGAAAAAAATGTGCACAAGCACCACAGTTTGAGAACTGCTGATATACAGTATTTTGGTATGACAAGGATAAAATATCATTGAGCTTTTTAATTTATTTGACAATGTTGAGTAATCAGTGCAGTTCAGTTTACTTTAAATCAGTAAACCAATCATCACAACGTTACTTACATGCTGTGTCCACTCTGTGAAGAACCATGACCCATATATATCAGCGGGGCAGTGGCCCATATCACAAGTTTCCTCATTTGCTGGCTTTTCATCCTGTGGGCAATTATCTGAATCTCTGCTGCCTGGACCCAGACATTTTACTGATCGAGAGCGGATACCTTGCCCACATACAACTGAACACTGAACAGAAAAAGGATACCTTAACACATCTTTACCATGCCATTTAAACTAGCTTTTATCCTGACTTTTAATTGAAAAATTTTATGCATATAGATACAGACTTTGATTTCTCTTTCCAAGCGAACACAGATTGTGGGCATCTGAATACAAGAGTGTCGAGGAATGACCAAAAACAGAGAAAACTAAGTAATGGAGAACATCATTTGCACTTTTCTGATGCTACTAGAGTGACTGAATTAAGGAAGATTAGGTAGATAAAACATGTAACATGCATTAGAGAACTGAAAAATGCCTAAAAGATGTTGGTCAGAAGCCTCAAGATGACAGGATGCATGGAACATAGGCACATGTAGGATTTTAAAATCAAAAAGAACCTTAATAATCAAATGAATTACGTTGGGGACTAGAAAAAACTGGCTCAGAAGAGGGTCCAGTTATGGTTGTTTCTAATGCAGCTTTTAGTCATACAGAACAGAAAATCAATTTATCAGCCATTGAAATATAAGGGAGAATCCAGCAATTTGAGTTAGCCAGATGGCTCAATTCCGTCGTTATATGGCCTGGACCTAACTCTCACCTTTCCCCAGTGGCCAACCTGCCATCTAGACTTCCATGGCTCCTCATGTTGTTGTGGTGCCTGTGGCAGAAGTTGCGAGCATGGAGGAAGCACACACTTTTCTGTTCGAGGCAGAACTGGTGGTGTCAGACATGCCCCTTCTACCACTTTCATAGTGAGTGTAGGACTGATTTCCTGCTTGCATATCAGATCTCTCTTCTGGATTCCTTCTCCACAAGTCACAGAACACTCACTCCACTCACCACCCACCCATCTGCAAAGCCATTTGTAACAACCATTCAGCTAATACATATTATAGAAAAGCTTCATTTTCAAATATATACCTTTTGCTGACAACACTCAGTACAGCTGCTCAGTAGATAAGCTGTCTGCCTCAGCAACATTAGAAGTCAGTTTTCAATGTGACATTTGAGGTTTTCATACTTGAAAGAATTTAGATTGAGTTCTTTTTGAGTTGTGACAGCATTTTGTCTTATATGCTGCTACTAAGTTTTGGAACAACCTGCTGGCCCCATCAGGAGTTGGGATAGTGTAATCGGTATAGCGCCTGGCTATTGGATCAATGACCCAGGGGCCGGAGTTCGAGTCTTCTCCACGTTGTTCAGACCGGCTCTGCGGTCCACCCAACCTACTATCCGATGAGTAACAGGGGCTCTTCCTCGGAGGTAAAGCAGCCGGGGAGTAAAGCTGACCACTCACCTCCAATTAGTAACAAGAAAAGTAAAGGTATCCCTGTAACAGGCCATGGAGGCCCAGAGGGTTGGGAGATGTTAAGGTTCCCACATTTTCTAGACAGTCGGCTCATAGATGGTGGCAAGGTTGTCAGCCCTATGCGCTGGCCACCCTTTACTCCCAAGAGTATTCCAAGAATATTCCACATACTCATTTCTGTTAGAGGCCATAGTGCAGCTGGAATGATTAGGTCAATTGAAAAAAATCCAATGACCTCATCGGGACTTGAACCCGCAACCTTCCAGCTTGAAGCACAGTGCCTCAACCAACTACACTACCGCATGCCCCCATCCTCCAATTAGTTCCAAGGTAAAAAAAAATTTGAAATTATACATCCATTCCCCCATATGCTTTCATTGTGTAGTGCTTAATTAGTTAAGCACAGGGACAACTTTACCTCTATCTGCTGCTCCCATCTTCAGGGCAGACATTACAAAACCATATTATGTCCATTTTCTGAAACAAATCTTAAAACCTGATGATGGAAATAGCTGGTTCCATTTAAAAGTCTGCAACCACCTACATGACAAGACAGTGTCACAACTCAGAAGAATATAATGCAAATGTTAATTTTCTATTTGTTTAATTTTGCTCCTAGCATCAATTCTGTATATGTCTCTATTTTCAAACCAATGCAGAGGTACACAGTGTTAACACAAGACACAAGCACTATCTTCATAAACAAACTTCTAACCTTTCATGCTTTCAGAGAAGTGCATGTTGTACTGCAATCAAAATTTTAAATAATCTGCCATTTGATCTCTAAAATCTCATGAATGAAAGAGCATGATTTAAAACAGAATTAAAATGATACTTATACACACAATTACTCTACTCTGTTGATGAATACTTGGTGTCTAAAAAAGATGACTCATCCATTTAAAGGTTGTGTAAATAGCATAAGTTGACAGTATTGATGTATTTTTGACTGGCATTTTGTGTAACCACTGGGTTTTCTTGGGTGGTCTTGTGTGAAAACTTCAGTTCTGCTGTCTATATGCTTTTGTATTTATATGACATACATGCATACATATGACATACATATGAGTATATGATATACTCACTCTGCAGGACATGGTTTAATGCTGCAACGAATTGTTTGAGGAAGAGGCTTATCATGGTGCGAACATCGTCTGTCCAATACCACTTGTTGATTGTGTTCTTTCACGCACCTCACCAGTGACAACTGAGAGCCTACAAAAATGGATAGTTAAAGTGCACAAGCTGAAATATATGTACAAGACGCAAATTGTGTAAACCAATAGTGCTTATGTCCACTGTGGTCTGGTAGCAATGCATACAAATTTCTGCACAAAATACAAATACTACTGTTGACTGAAGTTTTTGTAGGTAAGGTTTGTTTTATGTGTGGCTCTGATGTTTCTCAAAATTCTCATATATCAGCCAGGGTATTACGTTCAAAATATCCAGATGTTATTAGTAGGAGTAACTAATCATGCTGACACACTGTGCTCAATCTCCCAATTACAATGGCAATTTTTATTTTCAGATGTATTATGTTTGTGTCTAACTTTCAAGATATGGGATTAATCATCACATAGTCTCATTAGAAAAACTTCTTGTTTTCTATTTATTATCATAACTACATGTTTGGATTATAAATGGTTGTCATCAGGTAATATGTGCATATCAGTAAAACATACAGAACAAAACAAACAATAAACTCCATGGCTTGAGTCCTCAAGCGAACTATACTGACCAAGCAACCGTCGCTTGTTGGCAAAGTTAGTGCCAACTTTAGCAGATAGAGAGTGTCACGTAGTCAGCACAATGGATTCCCATGGCCGTTAATTTCGGTTTTCTAGACCAGAGCCACTATTTCCTTGAAACAGCTCCTCAATTATCCTCACATGGCTCAGCTGACCCTGTTGCAGACACACTACTTCTCAGAAAAACTGGTAGCGCCGGGAATGGAACCCGGGACCTCTGGATCTGTAGCCAGAAACTCTGACCACTAGACCACAGAGGCGTTCACAGTGAAAAAACCCACACATACTGTAAATTCAAATTTCATTAATACAATTGTACAAAAATATGGAGAGAATAGTGAATTACTTACTTACTTAGTTACTCATGGAGCCGAGCCCTTCTTGAGGAGCCGCCAATTCTGCAGCTACTCAAGAATTTCCCAGCATTTTATGGAACCTGAAGGTTCATCACCGTGTTCACAAGAGCCCTCCACTGGTCCCTATCCTGAGCCAGATCTATCCAATCCATACCATCCCATCCTATCTCTCTAAGATCCATTCTAATTTTGTCCACCCACCTACGCCTTGGTCTTCCCTGTGGTCTGTTTCCTTCTGGCTTTCCCACCAATATCCTATATGCATTCCTTGTCGCCCCCATTCGTGCTACATGACCTGCCCACCTCATCCTCCTTGGCTTGATCACTGAATAGTGAATTAGGTCAGATGAATCCTGATTTTCCTAATCATAAATATAAGAAAATAGTATCTGTCCCAACATAAACATCTGTATCCGTGTATCGTAACAGGTACAATCGAAACATGTAGTGTACAATGTTTCTATTATACTTATGTCAATATAAAATTAAAGTGGATCTGACCTACTTCGCTATTCTCTCCAGAATTTTACATGCTTTTATGTTTTAACAACATATGCACTTACAGAAAGGACATTTCTGACTGACCTGTGTATATCACCTGATGATGAACATTTATGATCAAAATATGCTGTGTATGATTAGAAGAGAAAAAAGTTTATAAGCATCACCGTATGGTAATACTTGAAGTACCAAGAAATAGCCTGGATATGAATTAACATTATTCAATAGAAGAATATGCCATATGAACTGAAGGAAGGATAATTCACATTTCTGTGGAAATTATTAGCCTATTCAAGAGGCACTGGGAACCTTGGATCAATGGGAGGGTCAAGAGCTTAAATCTACAATGGAATAGGCTCTGATGGGTATGGTATATCTCATATTGCTCTCAATGATATGACATCTATAGCAACACATGGTCTACATCTTAAATCTAAAGATAACTGCTGAAGGAGTGGTTGGTAGTCACGTGGTAAACATGGACAATTATCCTGTTATTTTCAATGCTGTAGTCTCACCTTGTCTAGTTTAACAACAAAATGTATGATGGTGCCTTACTCACACTCAAAGAAATGACTTTGTTTAGCGATATTTTGATAAAAATCCATATCCCTTATATTCATTCAATATTTTTCATTGAAATGTCAGAGGAATATAGAGTAAAACTGACAAATTAATAAATTCTTTTGGCAGTGAAAATGTAAATCCCCACATATTTTGTCCAAATGAACATCATATGGAAGAACAGGATATACTCCTTATAATAAGCAATCCATTTTGGGTTCTAACTTCTGTTGAAACATCAAAAAGGGAAAGGTATATATTTATGCGAGAAATGATATAACATAACAATAAAACTGACATCTTCATAGTGAGTAGCCTGTTGTGTGTTCCAAACATATACAATATAGTAGTCATGTTAAACCGTCACCACAACAAATGTATATTCCCTTTTAATCTTTACAATTAAACCTTTATTTTGCTACATGTTTCGTCCCTAGGACCATCATCAGTCAGTTAACGTGGAATACGTCTAGTCATTGAATTACTAATATGGATCCATACTAGTGTAACGTGTCATATGATAACAGCAAATTTTGCCTCAAATTGGTAATAAGTATTACAATTAAGTATATAATATATACATATACACAATATGTGTCTGGGATATTAAAAGTGTATACAAGTATGTTGATTATATCACAAAATATTAAAGTATTTAAAATATTATTAACACTTATAATCTATTAAGAGATTAAGAGTACAATGCCAAGCTAATTCTAGGGTTCAGATGCTACAGTGTAGTATTAGGCATATTATCTTATTTTGTGGACCATTTTGTCAGTAAAACCAGGTTGTGAAGCACAGAAGTGTCGGTGATATACAGGTTGTTATGATTATGTGATGTTTTGGGTACGCGCATTTCCCGATATGTATTGTGTTATTATGTGATCATTAATATGATGTATGCGTTCTCTAGTCTGGGCATGCATATGTTAGATATGTACTTCATTGTGGACTGAATCAGTCCGCATTGAACCAGTGCACAGTGTAGTACTCTGACTTTGTCTTGAAGCAGTTAAGCAGTCAAAGAGTTAGGTGTGAAGCAGTCAGTCGAAGAGAATTCAGAAAGCAGTTGAGTAGTTGAGGGTACAAGGATGAGAAGGATCATGTCCTAGTTAATTGTGAAGATTAGTGATAGCGCTATAATTGATTTTAATTGTGAAAAAGTGTTCAATAAATCCAATCATCAAATTTAGAACCCATTATTATTAGTCACGCAAACCTCCCATATGTGACAACATCTTTAAGCAAATTACGAAACTAGAATTATCTTCTACATCTCCCACTGTAAATGGCCTATCAAACCATGATGCTCAGTTTTTTATAATTAACAATCTGCTCCTACATATAACATATTGCTGTTGTCCCACAGAACCACGCAAATATATAACGAAGCAATTGTGGAATTTTTTAATTAAAAGTTGAGATTTGAGACTGCTTTATAAAATAATGATACTGACTATAAGTTTATTTTTTTTAGTATATTCTAAATATCCTTGAAGCTATCCAATTAAATATGAAATTATAGACAAAAGAAAGAATAATTGGATTACGTTTTTTTTTCTTCCTCTTCATTCCCACTTTGGAGCATAGGGCTGATTTCTCAGTTTCATTGATCATTGTTACAGATGGTAGGACTCCTTGGACGGGTGATCAGCTAGCCACAAGGCCTCTACCTTCATTCTGGTGATTATGGCGATTTTTGGTGCCAGTGACCTTCCATCTGTCCCTCCAAATAGGGAATTCACGTTAAAGCTTTCGCAGTTCGTCATGCAACACAGCCTACAAGTTTTACTGAATAATGCTGCAAGCTCCATAGTTACAAATTTTTCCCACATCCTAACAAATCTTTCCCCCTACAAACCTTTAACTATTTCATCGCTCTTCATACTGCAGCACACCGCATTCAAAACGTTCAAAACCGTTGAAACGAATATGGCATAATGAGAAATAAAGATTCTGTAAACGTAAAAGGAGTCTTTATGGGGGCACATAATAGTGCAGTTGGTTGAGGCACTATGCTACAAGCTGGAAGGTTGTGGGCTTGATTTCCAATTTCATTGGATTTTTTCCAATTTGCCTAATCCTTCCAGTAGCACTATGGCCCTGGGTTTGACTCAGCTTCTAATAAAAATGAGTACCAGGAATCTTTCTTGGGGAGGGGGGGGGGTTAAATGGTAGCAGGCACATAAGGCTGACAACCTTATGGCCACCTGTGAACCAACTGTCTAGAAGATGTGGGAGCGTCAACGCTCCCAACCCTATGGGTCTTCACGGCCTATTACAGGGACAGGTTTGTCTTCTTTAAAGGAGTTGTGGGAATTTTCGATGTTCTAAATGACAACAACGTAGAACTGTAACAATTGTATATATTCAATCGTATAAACTGAATTTACAGAATAGATGCAAAGCTATGTGGAATGTTCAAAAGTTGGCTGGCCCTCAAAGGGCAGTTTGTTCCACCGCGAGTGTGTTCGCAGAATTCGCTCGTCCGTAGTAGGCCAAGTCTTACGGCCGTTCAGCTGGCCTGTCTGGCCAGTGATGTAATTCTGCGAACGCCGGTAGAAACAGCTGCTCACGCTCGGGTGCTGGAGTTGCGGCAGGTTGTAATCCTGGCCCGTCCTTTCCGTTCGTTTCGCCGAAGTGCTGACATTGCCTATCATAAAACAGGGTAGGGCGATGACTACTCACACTGCGGCTCTTTGTACAAAGCAAAGTTACACATATTTCTAGTCAGAATCCTTTGCTTCATATGACATTGTTGTTCAATAAAACTCCTTCTGTCTTCAGTTCCTCACCCTTGACCATACAGATAAAGATACAGTTGATAAAAGGTTCTTGGTGAGAAAAGTTCAGTTCTGTGTTGCGCTACAGTGATTAAGTTTATCACGATGCCAAAAGCAAAGCCAGCTAAATCGTGTCATTTAAAGGAATTTGTAGCTGAGTCTGGAGATGATATATTTTCAACTGATGGAAACATTTTATGCTGTAAGATGTGTGACACAAAAGTAGTGGCAGAAAAAAAGATTCACGGTACAACAACATATTGACCGCGACAAGCAAATACGAGCAGTGCAAATTTCCAACAAAAAGAAACCTGTGCAAATGTTACTGCAACAGTGTTCATCTGGAGGTAGAAATAAGTCATCGGATTCTTTCACAGATCTGTGTGATGCTCTGGTGTCCGCAAATATTCCGTTTTGGGCTCTGAACAATGGAAAACTGGAAAATTTTCTGGACGTAACCTGTGGTCGTTCCAACCCGGATGAATCCACACTCAGGAAGAACTGCCTTTCCCAGTGCTACAACAGTATCCTGGAAATGATTAGGAATAAAGTGCAGGGGAAGAAGATTTTCCTTTCCATTGATGAGACCTGCGATACGGAGGCTCGCTACATGGCAAACGTCATCATTGGAACCTTGGGAAATTGGCGGACCGGGTGAAGTGTTTCTGCTTACGAGTGAGGTGCTAGAGTCCGTTAATCATTCCACAATTTGTAAACTCTTCGACAGGTCAATGTTTCTACTGTGGCCAGATGGTATATGACACGACGACGTCTTGCTTTTTGTGACCGATGCAGCCCCATATATTGTAAAAACAGCCAAGTCAATAAATTCGTTTTATACAAAATTGGTGCATGTTACTTGCCTAGCTCATGCACAGCATAGAGTGACGGAGGAAATGAGATCAAAATTTCCTCAAGTGGATGCTCTCGTGTTGAGGACAAAGGTTTTCGTCAAGGCTCCAGCTCATAAAATGCAGTTTAAGTCTATGGCTCCTGGTGTTCCACTGCCCCCGGAACCCATCATCACGAGGTGGGGAAGGTGGATTGATGCTACAATTTACTATTGCGATCATTTTCAGGTAGTGAAAAACATTGTAGATTCAATGAAGACGGAAGATGCGAGGGCAGTTGAAGCTGCTCAGGAACAGTTCTCGTGCTGCGAAATGGAAAGGCAACTGGCCTTCATAAAGGCAAATTTCAGTTCCTTGACAGAAGCAATCCAATGCTTGCAGGAGAAAGGAGCAACGCTAGGAGATTCGCTCGCGCTGGTGAAAAAAATAGCCAGTGATTTGGAGAAGGTGTCAGGGGACACTGGTAAAATGGTGTCAAGAAAAATGAGGTATTCTGGATAAAAACGCAGGTTATGAAACATTATGCAGCATTTCACAAATTCTGTCAGGAGAGTCCTTCAGAGCTTTCAGTATTGAAGAACTTACTGCTAGTGATTTGGTACACTTCAAGTGCGCTCCCATTGTGTCTGCAGATGTGTAATGGAGTTTCTCCAAGTACAAGAATGTGCTGTCAGACAATAGGTGCTCTTTCACTTTCGAGAATCTCCGCATATTGACTGTCATCTATTCTTATTGCAACTATGAATGAGGTAAGATTTAAATATTGGAATATATGCACTTGATAAGTGTTCCAACGCGGTAGAAAAAATCGTATTAAAACATTTAGCTTCAAATTCACAAATTCAATCAATATTGCTTAATTTTCAACATAAAGACGAGGACGAACTTAAAACAGTAAAGATGAGTTCAGTGTTAATAGAGATTAAAAATACATTTTAAAATAATTAGTAGATATTTTGACATATTACATTTTTGTCATATTTTAGGTAATTTTTCTGTATTTTTTCGGTCATTTTATAGATCATTTTTAAATATTTTTAGGTCATCAAAGTAAGTAAGTAATGAGTTTTCGTAACATCTACTTATCTTAGCTCTCCTCACCAGGCTTTCCACACCACAGCTCCTTCAATACAGCCAACAAGTACAAACATTATGCTAATTAAAAAAGAGTTTACCTTCATATACTAATTTTATATAATGTATTAAAGCATTTGCATGATGTTTAAGAATTAAACCTTACAAAAATTTATGTACCATACATTTTCTTGACATGATTTAAAACAGTTTACTACACAAAGACAGGGAGAAAAAAGAAAAGTAAATTAAAAGCACTCACAAAAACTTACCTCCTCCACACGTTTTTGTACACTCTGTATATCCAGTTATTTTCCATACAAATTTTCGCTTTCGAGCACGGGTTCTAGTTTGTGGTTTGTGGGCTTCATCTCCGATTGGTGTCACATTATGGTGACCAGGATGGTGATTTCCATGACCCTGAGATTCAGTACCTTGGACCCCACTGCCATATGGGTATAGAGGATCATCAGATCTGATACAAAAATGAAAAATAAATTAAAACTAGTTCAGTCCACATTTTACACCAATGCAACTGTCTGCAAGCAATAATCACGACATAACCTATAAAATAAAGATTCATTTTAATGTTCTTTTTCCACACATGTGTATTTCTCTTAATATAAGTTTTCACTTGAGATATTCCTATAAAATATTATTACATATTTATTTTGCCCACATCTGGTACATGTGTTGCCATCTACACTCTCCTATGTTGTAGTCAAGTGGGTAGCACTTGTGTATAATTTCCATGCCATCCTCGGTTCAAACTGGGCACAGACTGCCTATCCTGAGGATGTTCATGGGATTCCTCATTCCCTACAGGCAAATTCCAGGTCAGTACCTCAAACTAGGCCACAATTGTTTCCTTCCTTCTATCTTCCCATTCATTATTCATTAATCAGTCTATCATTTAGTGGTATACAGTTTGGGAGATTGACAATGTACATAAATAATTCAAGTGACATCCTTGATTTAATTATATGAATTAAAAATAAGCTTATAAATCATAGGAGTTCCTCTGTTAATATATGGATCTGAAAAATGGGCACTAAATAAAGCCAATAGAAAATTGACTGAAGCAGCAGAAATTACATTTCTATGAAGAGTATCTGGATATAATCATGAACATAATAAAACAATATTTACTGAAATGGGAAATTTTAATGCAAGAAGGAATATAAAAACCAGTGGCATGAACATCGTCTGTAACTTAAATATACAGTAATAGGATAGCCCAAAGAATTATGAAATATGAACCTGCACAATGGGATGGCCCAGAAGAATGTGGCAGAGCTGTCTGGATGTACACCTTGTAGCTGATGATTAAGAAATATACATTGTGAATCTCCTCTTACACCACTTCCACAAAGTGAACCACTACCAGAATCACTGTGATGATGATGATGATGATGATGATGATGATGATGATGGTGGTGGTGGTGGTGGTGGTGGTGATGATGAAGACGACGACGACAACAACAATGACGACAATGTTGCAAACAACAACAACAACAAACACATGCACAAACAAACAAAATCATATCATCTTACCTTCTGGTGTCAACTGCATCAAGTGTGGGTCCACTCTTCACAGTAATATCATCAGTTGGATTACTGAAGCCTCAAAAAACAAAAAATAATATTAACCACACATGAGTACTGTTGAGATGTAAATCCAGTAGCAGACAAGATTACTTACAAATCACCTGCTTAAATATGCACATTAATATGGTAAAGAATTAATGAACTTCATATGAAAAATTTAAGCTACACAGAACAATAACTTTCATCATAACTTTTCTCATAATGATCATGCACAGACAAAATAAATTGTATTAAAACAGAGCTTGTTTTTAAAAGTTGTAAAATCGTCTGTGTTCTTAATCAAATGAGAGGAACTTAATCAAAGTATCACACAGGTGCCTCAATAACAAAGCGCTAAGTATTCAATTACTTATTAGCACTAAGAAACAAGAAAAAAAGCTGGGTAATTACATTTTTGTAACAAGATTCCAATAATTTTGACACAGTCTCCTAAGAAGTTGCTGCTTTTAGATGAAAATAAAAGTAATAAATATTTATCTTACGATCAGAACAGAAGTGACTGTCGGCACGAGTAGTAACTCTACACATGATATTCACCACAAAGGAAGCTTGTAACAAAACAAGAAATTCTCTTTGATATGCATCAAATTTGCCAATTTCCATGGCCATGTGGGGTGGCCTAACAAGCACTGGTCACAAGCTACTCACACATTGATATCACAGATTCATGTGTTCACTGAATGTGATGGCTCAGTGACTGGATCCTTAATTAAGTTCTGGAGATCCAAGATTTTAATCTAGACTCAGAAAGTAGATATCCTAACCGAGGTAGCAATGGTTTTTCTTAGTCACTTCAGGAAAATAACACACTTATTGTTTGCATCCTGCTTTGTGTCAATCAGGGGGATTTACAGTGGCTATCAACATATAATTTTACAACTAACTAAAACTAATATTAAACTATTAATACTGTTTTAATTTCTACATCACAGTATGTTTTGATTGGTGTCATCATAATACATCATAGAGTGTGGTCAGTTATGTATTTATAGTAACCACTTAATGATGATCACACCAATTATAACACATAGTGGTGTAGAAAATAAAACACTATCAACATGTTAATATTAGTTTTATTTACCCACAAATTGTGTTCAAGGCCACACTGAACCACCTTACATGACAGGATATTAGGCTTTTTTTACATTTGACCATGACTGTTTCCTTCCACAGTTTTGTAATTCATTATAAAATAATCATCTTCCCTGTTGACACTCTGCAGTCTGAGTAACTGAAAGCATAGTTAAATAAACCATTTATTAATATATGGAGTATGAATGAATGAATGAATGAATGAATGTATGAAAAATCAATGAATGAAAGAATAAATGATGAATGAACAGATACTGTAAATGTTTGCTCTTTCATAAGGCAATGGCAACAGGTAAGAAGGAGGAAAATAGTCCAGAGACCAGAAAGAAGAAGGAAAGGAATAAGAAAGGGTAGAGGGCTATGGAGGAGGAGAATGCATACATGATGAAGAAGTGATATACTGACAACTATTGTTGTGTAGACTGTCCCATTATTTATCATTGGTATGAAATACAAGAGGATGCATACCATAAAACGTTGTAAAAAAATGATGAAGTCATCAGGCATGTTTGACCAGGCCATCTGTTTATATGTAGCAGGCTGCACAAGATTTTGATAACTAAGAATCACTTCAGCTCAAGAGGCATATTACATGCGAGTCCCTTAGAATGCCACTAACAAAATTTCCTTTCCATGACGGTGTCTCAGACAGATGTGTACCTGGTGGGAGGAGTAAGGGAGGTGCAATTATCCCATTATCTGAAATGGTCCGGGACAGTGATGGGACAGACATCATGGCTGGTGTCAGATCTCCTGGTTTCATCGGCAGCATGTATTCGTACTTGATACCCGGATTTGGCTGTTGGTAGATCACCTGGAAACACAACACCCACAAGTAATTTATATATCTCACTTACTTACTTACTTACTTACTTACTTACTTATGGAGCTGAGCCCTTCATGAGCAGTTGCCAAATCTGCAGCTACTCAAGAATTTCCCAGCATTTTATGGAACTCGAAGGTTCATTACCGTGTTCACAAGAGCCCTCCACTGGCCCCCATCCTGAGCTAGATCAATCCAATCCATACCATCCCATCCTATCTCTCTAAGATCCATTTTATTATTGTCCAACCACCTATGCCTTGGTCTTCTCAGTGGTCACTTTCCTTCTGTCTTTCCCACCAATATCGTATATGCATTCCTCATCTCCCCCATTCTTGCTACATGTCCTGCCGACCCCATCCTCGTTGACTTGATCATTCTAATTATACTTGGAGAAGAGTACAAGTTATGAAGCTCCTCATTATGCAGTTCCTCCAACCTCCTGTCACATCATCCCTCTTCAGTCCAAATATTCTCCTCAACACCCTGTTCTCAAATACAATCAGTCTATGTTCCTCCCTTAATGTCAGTGACCAAGTTTCACACCCATACAGAACCACAGGCAAAATAGATGAAACCTTTTTAACTCACATTACTGCTGTACGATGTACTCTTTAAATTCTTGTTTCTAAAAGTGGGAGATAATAAACTGAACATTTACAGTTTTACACTGATAACAATGTATGGGTCATACAGCTCACTGAAGCCTGAGATATGGCCTGCCAAGATAATTGGTCAACTTTGCTGTGAGAAAAAAATGGAAAGTATCCCCTAAATCTGAGAACTATGATAAAAAGGGTATATAAGGAGCATGTAGATACAGCATCTTGACACAGTAGGAAGTAACTACAAATTTCAAATCCAAGCTGACTTTATCCTCACAAAAAATCTTCTTGTTTCTAGCTAAGTATGAAATTGTGGGTTCCAAGATCCGAGTGTCAGCCCGTATGTTCCGATGAAGAGAACCTCCGTCCCTGCCCACAGTGACACCCTTATGACTCAGCACCTGTGTGTGTCCAAGCCCTCCTTGGAGGACAGTACGGAGATATATAAATATCAAACACTTGCTATTCTGTCATTATATACATATTGTAATGTGTAGTACGGTTGCTATGCAATGATTGCGAGATGGAACATGCGTTGCTTGGTAGCAGCTTGGTAAACACGTTCCCATGGAAATAAGACACATACACCAATGCAGTTACAATAGAAATATGGGTGTTTTCTGTGGGGTTGGCCCCTGGGGTTTATAGCAAAGACCACAGGCCAACAGACCAGTTCACTTAAGTGAAGTGGTTGGTTCGTGAGTTTTCAGTTCAGGGTTAGCAGTTCAGTTAAGCTTTTCAAGGGAGGCGCTGCAGTTGAGCTAGCAGTTGACAAAAGTTCAGTTGCAGGATATTCATCAGAGAGTAATGACATGACATTGCTGGCTACAGAAGATTTAGCGTGTAATGATTTGTAAAGTGCGGAGATCAGCGATAGCACTCTAAATACTTGTACTTCCGAGTGGTGTATATAAGTGGTCAATAAATCCATTCACCAATCTGGAAAGTGCATTGGATCACCATATTATGGAAGTGGAACAAGTGATGGCATGCCTCTTGGCTGAAATAAGAACCAACCGAGAATAAACGAGAGCCGACCAAGGGACACAGTTATCAGGGACCAGGCAGGGACAAAGTTGTAAGAGGAGCCCCTAAAGGACTGAAGCTCAAGAAGAGATAATGGACACGCCAGGAAGGCAGCAATGGAACAACGGACCGAGACATTAAGGAGCAACTACGCCTGAGGAAGGAGAGAACAACTGGCAATGGCATCAGAGGACGGAGCATATGACAACAGCTATGACTGGAAAGTACGGGAAATGTTAACACCTTCAGAGAGATCCTAGGGCTGGAGACGACAAAGAGAAGTCACAGAACTTCCATTAGACTGCGGAAAATGAGTGACTGAACATTGAGGAGGGGTCGGCCACCTCCGAAACGAAAGAAGAGTTGGCACAAAAAGCAGGAGTCATAAATGTAGGAGCACTTACCACTCGCGGAACTTGTGGTGGCACCAGCCGGAGAAGGATGACGGTGATAAAGGTGGACTGACTGGCACCCTATCAGGGAACCGATCGGGAAGAACGGCCTTAAAAAGGGAGCAGCGGGAGCAGTTGGAGAGTAATAACCGTGAGAACGGAGCCACGGGGAAGGAAGGTGAGACCGATCACAGATGTTACAAGCACAGCCGTGTGAAAAAAAAAAATGTCGGTACGCTTATAGGCTATTCGGGACGAACATTCTTAGGGAGGGAACAATGTGGCGTGTGGGTCTGCTGCTAAGCGGTGACTCTGCAAACGGCGACCGTTGCTAGGTAACTCCCGCAATAATAGAACAACGGGATTATGCAACCCGTTTCTGAACAACGGGTCGGTGAACACGTTCCCGCGGAAACAAAAACGCATGCAACAATATAAGAATGGTGTTTTCGATGTGGTCCACGCCGAGGAGTTATCTTGAAGACAGTTCAGTTGGCAGTTCAGTTGAGTGAAGTGAAGTGAAATGACTTGGTTGGTGAGTGAGAGAGTTCAGTTGAGGGATATTCGCCGCATAATAACGACTTGAGAGCGGGAAGCTGAAGAATCTCCAATGCTAGAAGTCGTTGCTAGGGAACGGCTGTTGAAGACACAGCAGGCTACAAAAACGCTTAGAGGGTGCTGTTGTGATCTGCGAATTGTGGAGATTAGCGGTGGCGCCGTAATTACTTGTAGTTCCTAGTGGTCAATAAATCCATTCACCAATCCTTCCCGTCTACAGTCACATACATAAATTCGTGACAATATGTTGGTAGTCAGAGATTGTAGTAGTTATGAATAGCAGCCGCTGATGACAGAAACAGATGACAGGTATATATAGTACTTCAAATGGTATTAGAGTGTTCACATTTTCCGACAGAAGTTCATAGCTTCGCCCTAGATAGCAGCACCACTTAGCGAGTATCATTATTATGTCAAGTTTAGTGTCTTAATATAAACGTAGCTGTCTTCCCAGCAGTTTTGATGCCATTTGTGTCAGGTATTTTGGTAGAAATTTGTTTTTACGTGCAAACAAATTTTTCGTGTGCACAGAAATCATTTCCTCAGTGCATTTTATGTTCAAGATTCAATAACTATATGAACACATTAACCAAAAATTTCCGTTGAAATATAATTGGGTCTCATAGTAGTTATAAAAATTGAGGTTAGAGCTGCTCGACAACGTATGCACTACCCTTTGAAGGTTATAGGGGGCACCGAGGCACACTTCTCGGTGGCAAAGAAAATGATCTCTGTTCCTGACGGAAGTCGAATTGTCTGGCAAGCAGCCAGTCACACTGTACTTGCCACGAGGTCGACAGGATCCAGTAGTGGTCCGGGTGCCTCGATCAGTTCGCCGCTGTTGGCGTCCTGGCGTCGATAGGTGAAGCGTGTCCCCACGGCCTCGTATTCTCCAGACCAGTTAATGGCCCAGTTCCCGTTGATGATGTAGTTGCCATCAGAGCGCCTCAGAGCTGCAGCACAAGATACTGGCTCTAAAGATACACAGCATTAAACGAGAGAGAGAGAGACATTTGTACTAACAACGTAAGCTAGCTGCAACAAATTATAAATCGAAGTGTATGGTGGTAGAGTGATTACCTCTCCTGCTCCTTCTTCGGCAGATACCCATTTCGAATCTCGAATGGGAGATAAATCACCACTTAACGGTCCTCATGCTACGAGTGAGATATATAGCTCTGAAACACGTTCACTTACCTTGTGTTCTTCGATATGTGGCAATATCAGTGGGAGGACTCCGGTCTGCCATCTGTTGAAAATTTAAGCTATAACGTGCCGGCATCTTTCCTCTAAATTGCAAATGTGTGTGACTGTAATGTTTGGGGGGTTTGTAATGTCACCCCCACCAAACAACTTTACAAACTTAGGTGGTGCTCAGAACTTCGTGATCGATATTGTTAAAGGTCCATATTGGGAAGTATTTCGGAATCCTCACTCTTTAGTAATGATGCAGTGGTTTACAACAAGAACAGTATTGGAATATTTTATTCGTAGAATTACAGGTTTTCTTTCTGGGTACAATAAATCCGCACATCACCATCTCCGTCAGATCACCATATGCAATACACTGCATATGCAACTCACACGTTACCATAAAAATGCAAAACAGAAGCATGCCTATCTGCAGAAAATCTCAGCATGCAAATGATTAATGATTACTTCAAGGAGTCACACGCACAGAACATCCCAGCCAATGATGGGATTGAAACCAGCAAAAATAGATTTTCCTTAAAGTTGTGGTTTCTGGGCCATGATGCCGTGTAGCCTTGTAAATAAGTATGATGGGATCATAACCCAGAAGACCTCAATATGAATCTTCTTCGCTGTGAGAACTTAATATCTAACATCCTCAAAGATATTCGTTGTTTTTCTCAGTCCGTGCAGAAAAATATCCATCGTCCTAAAATAAAGAACGACAATTTACTTTCCATTTTAATAATCTTGCCGTTTCTCATTTGACTCCTCACAACCTGTGGGAGGTAGAGCTGTTCTCACATTTAATCAAACGCAACGGCATGACGTACGGGGACGTGGAGGTACAGTAGTCTGAACTCTGGCTCTATGTGGAGAAGTAATAGCTCATTAAAATAGAGTTTACATGAATATGTCGAGAAAATGGCAGGCTATGGTGAACACGGTAATCAATTTTTAAATTCTATGAAAAGTGGGAAATTTCTTGTCACGCTACGCGAGTATTGGCTTCTCAAAACGAAATGAATGGGTTAGATTCTAGTTTTCTTTTATTGCTAGTGGGGTGGGACTAAGTCCCTTGTACTGCGGCCACTTCTGGCCTATTGTACCAGCCCCAGATGATAGTTGAGGGTGATTGTGGAGCAGTTGGTGGAATGAAGATTGGCAGGGGAAACCGAAGTACTCGGAGAAAACCTGCCCCTGCGCCACTTTTCCACCACAAATCACACTTGACCAGACCCGGGATCGAACCCGGGACGCCGCGGTGAGAAGCCAGCGACTAACCGCTTGAGCTATGGCTTGGCCTAGAGTTTCTAGGTTAGTTAACTAATTATTGCGGGGTTCTGTTGTTACTTTTCGAGCCTTAAATGGGGTTTAAACCCTTTCGCTGTGTACTATTTCTTATCACTTTCCTAAAATAATGTAATTTTAATATAAAATATGAATGAGCAACAAAAATGAATTTATATAGTCCAGTGATGGAAGCAGAAGCAGTAGACTCACACTCTAGACTGCCGACTGCCTTGCACATAAAGGTCCCAAATCTTACCATTATCTGCGCGGTGTGCTAGCCTTTTAAGCCAGCGCTGGTGTTGCTATCAACCAGAGTTTGTTTGGGGTAATGCAAAGGTAAAACTGTCCGCCCTCATAATTAATTACGCGCCACGCCGTGAAGACGCATGGCGGAGCTGAAGAATAGCTGCTTGTGTTCATAAGGCCCCCCATACACACACAATTTGGCCTTCCGATCGACCTTACACGCAAAACTGTGACAGTTTACCCCCTCCCTTTCCTCCCCATACACGCTCAGATAAAGCGGCAGGCTTCATGCCACAATCACGGTCTTCCAGCCTATAATGCTGAGTCACACGTCACGTGCTACGGTCCTGCAGGCAGAACTGACGGACTGACGGGTTTCCCACAGGCCAAGAGTCCAAACGATTGGCCGGCCGGCCGCACCACACACGTCAGTTTTGCCTTTCAGTCTTCAACTGTGCAGGCCGAACTGGAGGCCAAACTGTGTGTGTATGGGGGCCCTAAGCCAGTCAGTGGAGAGAGGTGAGTGGTAAGCTTCTGGTGTGCCCCAGAGTCGGTTTGGATGCTGAGAAGAGAAAAGTATCCTGCCCCTGCCGGGAACAGTATTTGCAAGGAGTATGAAGTGATAAAGAAATGACGACCCTTGCTATTTGCAGATATTCAGACTATCAGCTCCATCAGATGCACTGAGGGACAGACTGGAGCCTTTCTCCAAACACTGAACACACACCATTTTACAGCCAAATGACACTACAAATTGAAGTTCCGATCTCTTAGCTACGGTTTCTGCAGAAACCCTTCCCTGTATTGGCTATTATAGATTACAGCTTTTGAGGGACACTTTGAAGCCACTACTTCACCGAATATCCAAGCTATGTAAAGATCTAGTCTGTTATCTACCTACCTACCTACCTACCTACCTATCCACCTATCTATCTATCTATCTATCTATCTATGGCTGTATCCTGCTTTGTTGAACCTTCTCAAATGTTTAAGATTCTTGATCTTATACACAGTCAGTAGGACTTCTTGGACGAGGGATCAGTCCGTCGCAAGGCCCCTACCTACACCTAAAACAACATAAACACAGAATAAAGGCACACATATTTCAATGCCTCAAGTGGGATTCGAACCCACGAACCCAGTTTTCGAGCGAGCGAAGACACTTCATGCCTTACACCGCGCGGTCTAGACTGCTGTACTGACTGAAATATAGATAGATCTCCCTGCTGTTTTCTGCTCCCGTTCTTATCTACTGCCACAAGTCTACATTCACATTGATACAGACAGTCGCCCATAAGCCTCATGGCATGTATTTATAAAGGCCTACATACAAGCGACATTTATGTTCTACGGCCGAACTTTAGGAGGCTACTGGGAAGGAAAATTGGAATAAAAAAATAAAAATAAATTATTGTTCTATTTATAACCTTTGTCGAGTTATGACGTCTCGCATATTTCAAGTAATGACATAGCTGCCCGTTCCTCTATACACTCTGTTACTTACGTTCAACGTCTGTATTTATTGGTTTTACTTATAACGAATGGAAGTCAAAGGTTCCGAAGTTATTAGCTCTCTTGAATTTGAACTTACGTTGCATTTAACACTTTGAACGTGATCGTATAGCGAGGACTCGCAAGCAGTTCAACGCATTTATCAACAACTACCAAAGTTATTTTCCCAGCTCGGACGCAAGCTTCACGGCCATGTCCAATTGTATGTCTAGTCTAACCGCCCCTTCCTTCTTTGCCCTTCCGGCTGCGGCTCCGTCTGAATACTAGTGCAGGGGGTGGGAGTCGATGGCGATCGGCCCCTCTACTCCGATGACCACTTGACGCTGCAGTACCTGGTGCTGCCGCTGCTGAAGTTGCTAGGTGGTAGCTGGTTTCGGCTTGACCCGGCTCCACCGCTTCCTCTGGCAGTAATTGCAGTTACGGTTTGTAAGAGTCCCATAAATCCAATTACCAATCCAAACCACGTCTACAGTCACTACAGTCACTAAATACGTGACAACATTAACAATATTTCTTCTGAAATTTTCATGAAATATACTATACAGACTTAAATTCAAACCCTCAGTCCTTTAATTTCAAATATATATTGATGCTAAGATCTCCCGAAAACCACCATGCTGTTTTACTACATGTTTCAAGAATGTTATTTTATGCAACAATGCATACACATTAACCTCCTCTGGGGTCTAATGGTCAGAGTTCCTGGCTATAGATCCAGAGGTCCGGGTTCGATTCCCGGCGCTACCATATTTTCTGATAAGTAGTGGGTCTGGAAGGGGGTCCACTCAGCCTCGTGACGACAATTGACGAGCTATTTCAAGGAAATAGTGGCTCCGGTCTAGAAAACCAAAATTAACGGCCGTGGGGATCCGTTGCCCTGATCTCGTGACACCCTCTATCCGCCAAAGTTGGCACTAACTTCGCCGACAAGCGGCGGTCGCTCGGTCGATATAGTTCGCTTACGGATTAAAGGTCACGGATGCATACACATTATACGAACTCAAAAAAAGAAAAAAAAACTATTTAATTACAAGGCGAAATATTAAATCTGCCCACTACTCAAAAGCTGTCAGTGACATATGTTGCCACTTTTACCTATTTCTTATAAAGCAAAATTAGAAGTTTATATGGATGTCATGCCTTTCTGTTTGTGACCTAATTTCAGCGTCTGAACTGTTGACAGAATTTTAATTAGAGGTGGATAATTTTTCTTACAATTTGTCTGAAAATTCTAATTGTGACTAAAGGCGGACAACAATAACGGGCAATCCACATGAAGACCTACATCTAAGTGACTGATTACGCGCGCATCTCAAATGTAACTGTGCTAATATTTATAACTCTTTAAACATTTTCAAACACACGTCGTTGAGAAAAATTAAAGATATATTTTAAGCTAAGTTTTATGAGTTTCGTACAATGAAACAAGAGAGATTATTTTTGCTGTGTCATAACTCTATAGTGGCTGATAAGATTTCATACTGGAAGTTCGTGTATAAACGTATCGTAGGCCACAGCTGTTAGTCTGTCTGATGGTCCGTTGGGCAGCCTGTTACCTAGACGGTCTATCAGCGCCTAAACTGTTGGGGCTTTTTTGTCTACTTTCTTTAATTTGAAAAAAAAATGTAGTTTATGAGGTCATATGAGGCCTGTGTGTCTGTGTATTCCCCCCCCCCATTAACTTTTGAATGGCTGAACCCATCTTTATAAA